ATATATATATATATATATATATTAGAAAGAAAGACTTGTGTCTTTGCGAGACTTGTTCATTAGCCGCACTTCACATCTGATGTCTGACCCACTTAACAAAGTGCAGTAAACGGTAAAACAATTGCGGTACAAATTAGTGTGTTTATTAGTACATTAATAAATGTAAAATAATTTGAATGCAAATACTAGTTTGCAACATCCAGCAGCACAGTGAACGGTTTTGCACAGCTAAATAGGCTAAATGGAGATTGCTGATATCGCCTCACACACTCAAATTCACGCCAGCTCTTACATCAAAAATAAGATGGAAAGAAAAAAATGGTTTCCATTGATCTAGTCTTTGCATCTGTTTGTTTGATGTTTTAATTGGGTCTCATTATTATTATTATTATTAAATTTTGATTTAACATGGACATCACAGTTACATTGGACAAACCATATGCACTTCCTCAAGTGTTTTAGCACACATGCTAATTTTCAACACCAGTCCACGGGAGGCTTTTCAGAAGGCAAAAAAAACAAAAAAGTAAATGAATAAAATAAAACCAATAAAAATACTAATAATAACAACAATGTTAACAATAAAAGTAATAATAACAATACTAATAAAAAAAATGTAAAAAAGGGAAAAGAAAAAAATATACCATAAAATTACAAAAAGAAGGAACAATACATTCAAAATTATTTACATAAGCTATAAAGCAAAGACAACATAATTAGACAATATCGCAATAATAATTTGATATGAAGAACTATTCATGTGAGCACTGTTGTTTGGTTTTTAACCATTGTTTAAGTCCTCTGTTAAAAGCATTACCATTGGTCTCTAGTTTTAAATTAGTAGGTAAAGCATTCCAGAGTTTTGGCCCCTTTGCAGAGAAAGCAGATTGGCCAAAAGAGGTCTTATACTTTGGAACAAGACAGTCACCACTAATAGTGGCTCGTGTGTTTGCCCTATGAGAGTTCTGACGCCTACTGACCAATTCAGAAAACAGTGGTGAAACATGATTCTTTAGACATTTAAAAACCAATTTGAGATAATTAAAATCAACGAAACTATCGAAGCTAAGTAGGTTATGCTTTCTTAAAACATCACAATGATGCCATCTCATGGGTTTCTGGTCCATAACTTTTATTGCCTGTTTGTATATTGAAATAATAGGCTTTAATGTATTTGGAGAGAGTTGTGACCATGATGTGACACAATATGATAAATGTGAAAATATCATTGCATGCATGTATAATTTTGCAGTTTGACCTGACAAGTCCCTTCTAATAACACGAAAACAATTTAGGTTTGGTTTGACCTTCTTACAGATGTACTCAATGTGACTATCAAATTTTAAATTCTTATCTAGAATAATCCCAAGATACTTGATTTCATTCACTGCTTCAATTACTTCATTTTTAATCCGCACCTCAAATACATCCCTTGCAGGCCTATTTCGTATGGAGAAGCACATGGAAACTGTTTTTTTAACATTAAGAGTTAAATGAGACAACTCGAGCCATTTAGAGATGTTATGTAATGCCTGTGTCAGGTGCTCACCTGCCAGGCTAGGTGTTGTAGTAGACACATGGACGACAGTGTCATCAGCATACATCTGGCAGCCGACACCCGGACAGCAATTTGGTAAGTCATTTATGTACATTGTAAACAACAGAGGGCCAAGTACAGAACCTTGCGGTACTCCTATGTTGTTGGAACAGAATTGACTAGATGGCGCTGTCACAAAAAAATAGGGTAGAACTGCGGTCCTGAAACTGCAGGCTCCAGTATTGCAGGAACACAGTATTGAGGTTGTTCTTGTTCAGACCAGTGTGAAAATCGACCCATGTTTTTACCCTGCAAACATGCAGAGCTGTAAATGTGAACTGGTGGATCGATAAGAAGATAATGCATAATAAAAATCCAAAGAGTAAAATGTATTTATATGTTATTTAATTAATATAATAATTTATTGATAATAATTGTTTAATATAATAATTAATTATTTTGACGCATCCATTTTATTAAAAATGGTTTAAGGCTGAAATGTGAAGTGTATCATTTTATAAAACTTTTTTGTTTTTGTGAAAACTTGTATCTGAACTGTAAATCATACTTTTTACAGTCATTTTACACTTTAATATGTTACTATAGACATTGCCCTACCCCGTTCATTCGGTATTAATTTTATTTGTGCAGGTCTTAAAAAAGGTCTTTAAAAGTCTTAAATTTGAGCTTAAAAATCCTGCAGAAACCCTGTCACTCCTAAACATGTCTCATGCGGTGTGATAGTGGGACGTCTCTCCCTAGAACAGCCTTCCTTACTGAAAGTCTTTTGATTGCACGCAGCAGTCCTAGTGAGACTACTAATGTGCTCAGTCTCTCATTAGTCGAGACTCCTGCCCCGCTTGCTTTCTTGTTACATTGCCTACACCTTCCCTTCATAATCCTTTTCAACTAAATCTGTCCTCTGGCCCCATTTTAATGTCCTTTTGTCCTTAATAATGTGTGCTTGCACATACGTGTCTGTGTTTGCTCACGTATGGCATATCAAAGCTAAGAAAATTCGACCTGACATGCAATTAAGGAGACGTTATGTGGCATTGATTGGCTCTGGGGCTCACAGTTTGTTGAGCTAATTGCTGATCCAATGAGCTCATCAGAGAGATCATCTTTGAAAGATTTTCACTCTGGGACTGTGAATGTTCATGTTTATCTTCCTTTTGGTAATGTACTCTGATCTCAGCAGGCACGTGCACACATAGACATCAAAGGGGGCTTGAGCACCTGCCCTTTTTCTTTCTCGAGAGAAATTGCCCTTTTTTCTGAGGAGTTTTTAAAAAAAAATTTATAAATATATATGTATGTTTCTGTTTGCGCACCGCTTTCCCTGTCAAACAAATAAAAATCTAAATATCAGGTCGGGTCGGGAAATGTTGAGAGACTCGAGTTCCGATGCCTTTCTCCCCTCCTCTGCAGCACAGTGTAGCACACATTGATCGGCACATCACAGTCACAGATAGAGAGCCGCAGAAGTGAAGCCCTCCCTCCCTTTCCAGTTGTGTTTGTCTTGCTGTGGAGGTGAGTGGTGATGAACAAAGACTAAGCTACCTGTGGCCCGAATTTACAGCTAATTATGCAAAAGATAAAAGGCAAATATAGTTAATTTGTCTTGCTAACATCCATGACTCATGAGCGCTACCATGTAAGTTAGCTAAAGTTTAGCTAAGGCAATAGGAAGTCTAGTAGGTTAGACCAGTGCACGTTCTTTCACTGCATTATTCAGTTTATTAAAATGCATTTAGAATGATCACAAAATTCAAGATATGGGGGCAGAAGTGTATATATTTATATAATTTCATATAGTTAATCAGTATTACGTGAAGACTGATGTTGTTTTCCACCAAAAAGCAATATGATTACAAATTTGATCTTGATTTTATACAGCAGTTTAATAAACAAGAAATTAATATTAAAACACTTAAGTTTTAGACACAATATTGACTGTTTTTACTCTATTTCGCCAACAAATATAATTCCAATTTGCGTCTCTGAGCGCTGTTTTGTTCCTGAATGAATCAACTGTTTAAATGATTCGGTTCAATAGCAATGAATCACTTATTAACAGTGGCAGTTTTAATTTCACATTTAAAGTATATTTTCATTTTTTTATTTCAGATATCAGTATTCAACGTTTTATGTTTAAAATATCAAAACAGTATTAATGCATTTGTAACTGCAGGTTAAATGCATTCATGTCCTGCATTAAACAGAGTGTAAATGCATCTAAATGCCACTTCTAATGCAGCTTCTGTGTTACCTCTGCATTGCAAAGATGAATTTTGTCAATACTGATTTCATTTGCTTGGTAACAGCCCAAATGACTTATTATTCTAATTGACTGATTCAATTTAAGAATTTGACTGAAAACATGATGCATACTTTTAGAAAAAAAAAGGGCTTTATAAAGGTAAAACTGTCCATAAAAGGTAAAAAAAAAATCTATTTAAACTTATTGGAAAAGATGAATTTCTATCACTGCTATAAATTGACTACCACACAGAATATGCAGAATATCAAAAACTTTAGGAGTCAGCTGTCCATGGTAGCCCTTAAGATATCTACACAGTAACACACTCAGCAAAATATAGTCTAATTATCGTTATCGATAAAATCCCAGAAAATATTGATATATTTTGTCAATATCACACACCCCTAATATATTTAACGTTTTGTTTTGTAACGTTTCGTAACGTTTTGTGCCCTTTTTTTCCACTTGAGCCCCTGCCCCTCAAAATGTCTGTGCACGTCCCTGGATCTCAGTATATTGTAAGTGTAAGTATATTAACATGCTTTTTTTTCTGTTATAAGCTATTATGGTACTATCTAGTAATGGAACAAGGTAAATAAAAAATGTAATTGTAGCAATTTGTGCTGCATTTAATTTGAGTGTGCTATATGCAGGAACTAACAACAGTGTGTAAATAAATGTATGAGATGTGTGCAAATCTCACAACCAAGTTCTTTCCATGAAAGGAATTAAAAAAACAATCTTAATAAAAAATAGTCGTTTATTTATTTCTCTCTGTGTAGCAAAATTAGTCATCAACATGCGGTTATTTACATCCAGCAAACGCATGTTTATTATGTTACGTCCAAGATATATCTAGAAAGGACATAAACATATTTTCCTCACACAAGACTCAATGGCATTTTTACTTGGATACACTAGTCATTCATCTTTTTTTGTACTTTTTTGTTCAATGCTCATAATGTCTTCAAAGAAGCAACACATTTTAGATGCAAGTTTACAGTAACGTGCAGAAACTTTACTCCTCCACTGGTTCAGCTATTCTTGCCCATTTTATCCCCCTAGATTTCATCTGATAGTCTTTCAAATCATTTAAAGAAAATTAGAATGGTGTATGTCTCCCCCTTACTTTTGAGCATTCTTTATTTTTCAGATTGACAAGCACCAGTTTGTTACTTTTTAATCATGTGGGACAATTTCAGCCAGTTTAATCATTTCTACAGATTTTTTAGGAAAATATAATTTCACTGATTTACATTGAGTAGATCTAGATTGCTTCCTTCCCATGTGAATAGTAATCATTTAATTTAATAGATTGTCTATGCTATTTTGATTGAGCTCTCATTGGCCCAGTGATTGATTTTGGAAACTGTCGTACGGGCAAGGTTACTTTTGAAAGATCCATTAACATTTGACACATTTGAAACCACAAACATGAAATATGTTTTTGATTATCTTTACCTATTTGTTTTATTTGTAAAACATGTTGAAAGGTTGATCACTGCTTTCCAGTTTATGAGCTTGAGAGCAAACCTTTCAGCCAGTCAGTGACCAAAATGCTGCTCATCTGAAAAGGGGAAGAGAGTGTCTTAAGGCAATTAAAAGTTGTATTCAAAACAGCTTTTATGAAATAATAAATTTATTTCTTAGAAATCATTGGAATGTATGAATGTCCTTTGCACCAACTTTCTATCTTTTTGCATAAAAAACAATGGTATAAACACATTGAAGGAAAAAATTCAAAATGCAGACAGCGATAAGAAACTAATTCTATGTACAAGACTTATGTCGCTTTTCCACTGCATGGTACGGCACGGTACGGTTCACTTTTGGGGGGTTTTCCACTGGGTACAGTACCAGGTACTTTTTTTTTAGTACCACCTCAGTTGAGGTTCCAAGTGAACCGTACCGTTACCAAAACGTGACATGTAAACTGCTGATCACGGATTGGCCGGAGAGAATCGTCACTACCTTGCGACACAAACAGAACAGAACCGCTAGATTTAAATCAGCACAGCCAGCGAAGGATCGAACGCAACTGTTTTGAACAAGCGCACCTTTTTTAACAACCAAAAAGTGGCTGTTTCGTTGTCTGTTGAGGAAGTACAGCCATTCCTCTCATTGATAGCAGAGGAGCGGATCCTGCGAGAGCTTGATGGGGCGACGCGGAATAGAAAAGTTTTTCAGGAGTCGCGGCAATAGAGGCGGCGCAACTATAACGACATGTGAATAATCCCGCCCACTCTAAAGCGGTACTGAACTGCAGTGGAAACGCAAGCCGAGCCGTGCCGTACCGTACTGAGCCGTGCCGAGTCGTACCATGCAATGGAATAGCGCCATTAGAGTGTGTCCTCTTTGTTTCACAAAGGAACGCACAAATGGTAAATGCTCAAGCAGAATACTTTGAGGTACATTAAGACTTACTACATTTGGTTTATGGAATAAACAAAATGTATATTTCTACCATTATGGCACTGTGATGGTTTCTCTGTTAAATCTGTGTGTTTGCGTTTTTTAAAGGTGCAATTAGAATATTTTTTGCTATCCCTCTACATTATGATCAATGATATTGACCACTGGGATTTGAAATGTCCAAAATATAAATAAATATAAAAAAAGATACTTAAATAAGACTTGATTAATGGAGTTGCTTCCATAATAATGGCAAGTCTTTTAAGATTCCATCTTGAATGCCTTTGTACTGGATGAAAACATGGTGTTTCATGCTATCAGGTATCTGCTCCTTTATAAAGGCCTTCTTGGGGTATGCAGAACTTCAGTGTTGGGTATTTGAAATATTTAAGCACCCTTTCCTCTCACCACTCCAGTAGCTTTGCTGGTCTTTCAGTCTCTCCAGGGGGAGGAGGGTGGAAGATGTGGTTAGATGGACATGGAGATCCTAAATATGTTCTGTCTGAAGCAAATAAACAAATATGATGGAACTTATTTCAGCAAAGGAAACCAGAACATGATAGGTTGGCTATGAACAGTCTTTAAGTTGTTCCCTTTCACTTTCTTCTCCTCCTCATCGCTCTGTTCCCCCCCCCCCCCCCCCCCCCCCCGCCCACATATGCTCACTGAAACATCCTGGGATGTTTCATAAAGACCTTCTCGATGAAGTTCTCCAGCTCCTCTGCACTGTCCTGTGGCAGCTGCCTCAGCGGACTATAGTAATCATCCTCCCTGGTGACTACAGGAGCTCGGGCTGGGTAATAGAAAGACGGCCAGCGACGCGGAGGTGACCGGGGTTTAGGCATAGGTACAGTTTTGAGAGGGTGAGGGAAGTAGAGGTTTCGCTGGAAGGCTGGTTGGAGTCTTTGGCGAGAGTGCGCCCAGGGACGGGACTTCCGTCTGGGGGAGTAATCAAAGTCATAGTCTAGTGAGTTTCCCAAAATGTCATTGAGGGAGAAAGAGGGCTTGGGATAGTAGCGGGATCTTGGTTTTGGAGGTGGTACATAGGTTGGGTAATATCCCCGGTAGGGTTTTTGATAGAAATTGTAGGAAGGGTAGGTACGAAAGGGCCACTGCTGCCTCATCCAAAAGTCTTGCTTGCTGGGCTTGAACGAGGCCCTGTCTTTGAACCAGGCTTTTAATGGGTTTGTGTTCGGTTGAGGAGGCTTTGAGGAAGGTGGTTTCTGTAACAGTGTAGAAGGTGCAATGGGGGCTGGAGGCGGCACGAGAGGATGTTGCCATGGGAGATTTTCAGGAGGATCTTTTTTCTTCTTCTTCTCCACATCGTTAATGATGTCCACCACATCATCAGCAGGAAGATGCAGCTTGCTGGAGATCTCAATCAACTTATCGATGGTCTGTGGGTCAATGTCATCGTCATCATTACTAGTGTCCTCCTCATCAGAGCGCTTGTCTTCTGCACCATTGTTGTCTTGGTACTTTTTTTTGTCCTGTTTCATGATGTATTTCAGGAGCATGTCGGATGCAATATCTGCAAGCTTTTCTTCCTCCGCTTTGGCTCTTTGTGCCTCGGCTGCCTGTCTTCGTACCTCCTCTTGCTCCGCTTTGGCCCGAGTTTCCTCTTCTTCAGTGCTCAGCTGTTCTTCGTCTTCTTGGTCTTCCTCATCTTCTTCCTCTGGGTCAGAAAGGTTGTTGGTAAAGTCATCCATTAAATTGCCTGAATTCTGAATTTTGTTCTTTTCTTGTTCAAGCTGCCACTTTAGCTTCTTCTTGGACAGTGCTAGGTCACTGCCTTTAGCTTTAGGCTTGATCTCATTGTTCATGAGGCCATTACGGTCCAGGTAATCGAAATACTCCCCACGGCTCTCCCTCTGGCCTGTGGACATGTCACGCTCTCTCTTAGTGGCTGTGCTGTAGCTCTGGAATTCCTCTAACATAGTCTCCAGATTCTTCACTTCCTCTGGACTCAGCTGCTCTTCCTCCTCCCCCAGTTCTCCTCTCTCTGGCTCCTGCCTCTCCTCCTCCTTGATCACCTCCTCTTTTGTGGCCCCCTCCTGTGGGGCCACCTGCTCTTTTAATGGTACTGTCTGACTGGTGGTGCGGCTTGTCACTTTCTCCGTTAGCTGTTCTTCCTCAGCCCTTTCTTTCTCCTCTTCCTCCTCTCTTTCTTTCTCGTCTTTTCCTTGTGCTGCAGCAGCTGCCATGACCAGCTCCAGCTCTTTGTGACCATCTCTGTCTCTGTCTGCACCCTGAAGATACTTCTCCTTTTCCACTTCTGTTCCCCCATCTTCTCGTTCACTCATCTTTTCCTTCTGGGGCTGGTTGAGGGCCTCGAGAAGGACCGCTGCTAGGGTTCTAGGATCCATGTCTTTGAAGAGCTCATCATCTTCTTTTTCCTCATGTAGCGTGCCCTGTTCCTCGGCTGGTTGAGTATATTGAGCCTGTTGCTGAGCAGAGGAGGATGCTGCATAGTTGTCACTTACTGTGTTTCTATCTGCTGTCACTGGACTGAATGTTGCAGAATTGAATGTGAGACTAAATAACATGAACAGGAAAATGAAGGGGACATTTGAAGTTTGTTGCCACCAGATCATGACCACACATACGTGTTTGAACCTGAAAGACAGAAGTTCAAAAATGGTCAAAGATCAAATCTGATATTGCCAACTGATTTTATATGTGTTTTTTTGTACATATACATTTATATTTATATGGTGTTTTGATGTACTTTTGTGACAATTATAAAATAAAATTAATTTGAGTTCACACATCACTTCACAGCAATTTAGATTTTTCTCAGGTAAGATGGTGGACACATTTTGTGATTCACTTCTTTGCAGACTGTCTGAATGCAACACTCACTGTCTATTAAATATAAATTTGTATGAATGACTTGCGTTTGATACCTGAGAGCATTTCATGACCCATTTGCTTATTTGTGTAATGGAAGAACTAATGTTAAATATGCACTTTAGCAAATACTTTTTCCCTAGTCATCCAGTGAGGATTTCTCTCTTCTGGAGAGATCATACAACAAACTATACAAAAAAAAAAAACATTTATATTTTGCATAAAAAAATATTTAATCATTGGGGGGGGGGAGTATCTTTGTTAAGGTATTATTTATGTTTTATTTCCTGCTGCTTAGCTGATTTTGCAAAGGCGTTCTAATTGGCTCTGCGGCTAGAGCTGGTGCGGTTCGTGAAGGCTCTGAAGCGCTTTTGTGCTTGTGATTGCTCGCACACGCAGCGCGGTGCTAATGCAGTATATAAAGGAGGAAAAGCGCCGTAGGTGGGAGCCCTTCCGATGCGCGGGAGGTTAATGAGTACGCAATACAAAGATGATCAGAGGATCTCAGTATGCCCATGAAAACCAAGTTTGAGATCCCCACCAAAAAAGAAAAAAAAAGTCATATTCATATGGATGAAACGGTCCATGGAGTTTGGATTTCAAAGCTTTGGAAGCGCAAAACCAATGAACGTTAATAAAACAGCATTCTTATCTCACTTTAATTTTGTAATGAAAATTAAGCGATCCTAAAGCTCAAGGTATGCTAATCACGACACCGATGTTTATGGTTAAATCTGGTTATGTGGCTAGATTTCCACTCGCCGTTGCACGAGCAAACACTGCTGCAATCGTCAGATATGTGCCAAGTCGCTTACAATGCATGGATTTACACATCTAAAGTTTGACATCGGTGTTTGCCATATGTGAAATGCTGCAGGAACTCTTTCTCGTTTTTATTAAAAAGTCTGTATCTCCTTTCCGATTTGGAATGATTCACTTTTTTAGTATTAGAATCATGTCTCCACAATGTAGCCCAAGCACAACTCTAACGCCCTCTTTAACTGCCGCCAATGACAGCGCACACTGGGAGTTCTCATCAACAAAGCACGTAAGTAATCCGGCTCTAAGAAGCCTTGTCCTTAAGTAGGCCCTTAATCTTCTGCTTTAAGACAGATCTATTAGAATTTAGATTTAAACAGGGCCATACTGCAATCACAAATTGAACCCAATCGACAATATTGGAAAGACATGAAAACAGATCATGAATGCTCTGCTGTTAAATTTCATGTCAACATTTCTCTGCTCCATATGAGCAGGTACTTATAAGTATGTAAAATAAAAGTCAGACTGGACTCCAACAGGCAAAAGTCAAGGCGCGCCAAAGCAAAACGTGTTTTTATCTCAGTGTCTCTCGTGTGCTTTTGTGATTGGACTCGACATTGTTATTTTGGGTATCTGATGCTATGGTGATGAGAAAGATGATGAAAGCATGAGCAAGGGCGTGGTAAAAATCATTATGAGAGCTGTGCTATTGATCAGCCCCATCATCTTCATCATTAAGTGTAAAAGTCATCACTGCAATATTTAGTATCACTAAAGTGGTTTTTAATAAGTTGCATTAACGCCTTAACCAATAATTCAATTATATAATTTTTATTAAATATTATACTTTTACTTTCTACATTACTACATTTTTCCTTAACTCCTCTTTTTATATGTAGTTTTTTAAAATGTATTTTAGAATGCATTTTACTACACATCCCTAATATAGAAGAAAAATTAAAAACGTAAAGAATTTGCTATATTTGTTTACACGTTTAAAAAAAACATTAATTCCCTGTATAATAATAATAATATTATATATATATATATATTTATTTATTTATATATATATATTATTATTATACAGGGAATTAATGTTTTTTTTTAAACGTGTAAACAAATATTGCAAATTCTTTACGTTTTTAATTTTTCTTCTGTCCCCATTATAATATACATTTATTTTCCCATGGCTTCTACCATTACTGTTGCCTGTTACTATGAAAAGAAAGCCGGGACTTACCGGGAATCCTGTCAATGGCAGCGTAGTCCGACGCACGAATTGTGTCCTCTTCAAACTTTGTATTTAAGTTATTTACGTGTAAGGATCCGCTTCAACAATAAATTCTTTGTTTGAATGTTGCCGTTTTGTTTGTATAGTGGTTTCGTTTGTGTAAGCCGTATGGTAGGCTTTTCTTGCACGGCGCTATGGGATATTTTCAGTACCACGGTCAGCTCTCCGTGTTTTTATTTCAGTCCCACTGCGCCCACGTGACTGCACGTCACTCAAGCTCATTGACGTCACCCTCTCCATTGGTACGAATTTTCGTGCTGATCGAACCCCGAGTCTTCGCTACACTGCAGTGCCCAGATGAATGGAAGGAAACGGGATGAATGAAATAGTACTTTTTTTTCGCCGAGTAGAGAGGGCTAGACAACACTGGGAGCGCGTGACCGATCCCTTCCAAATGCAGCTGCATACTGATGACAGCGCAACGCAAAGGAACCAACGATCCTCATCACGATGTGCATTGCCTCACTAGCAAAACGTATAAATGCAATTACACCATGAAATTCACAGAGGAAACAGCTGGCGCATGAATCGTCAGTGCATGGTGAAAAAGCGACCCCAAATGCATTATACATGTTTTGTCTAATCTAGACTTATTGAGTAGCTAATGTGCCTCTTCCGCGTGACATTATTATGACAGGATGTTGTGAAATGTAACAGTATTGAAAGCTGTTGCAACCGTTTTTCTACAAGGCGTAATGGACAATAAACATTGACACTACAATAGCCTACTATACAGTGTTTCTGTGTACTTCTCCATTGTGGCTATCTAAAAATTACAACGTTATGAAACGTCAAAATTCAAACTGCAAAGAGACGAGAGGTTATGGTATCTTAAAATATTCACTATTTCAATTTGCAACAATAGCCTATTGTTTAGAATGCATCATTGCGGGCAATCAACGTTAATAATATGCCACATCTTAAAGTTATTTCGTTCTATATTTAATGCACATTTCTTTCCTAAATGTTAGGGTGATCTTTATTGTAGCCTTTGAATAAAAAAGCAATTCCAGCAAAAATGTAATTTATCATGAGTACAGGAGTGTTAGAGATAGTTAGACTCTTTTCGGTAGGCTAAATGCAATGAATGAGCAGTCGGACGAGTGAGAAAAAACATTCCCTTTTGTCAGCAGTAGTTTTCAGTGACCACTTTATCTGTTTGAACGAACTGACAACTGAAATTTTAAAAGCCTAGCTCACCCAAAAATGATCTTTGTCATTATTATTCACCCTTATGTTGTTTTAGGAGATGACAGTCTCAGTCACCATTCACTTTCATCTTTTTTCCGTACTAAGTACTAAGTTAATGTGACTGAGGCTGTCAGCCACTCACATCCCCAACATCTAGTGTTTCACGGACAAAACAAAGGGCTTGTTTGGCACGAGGATGAATAAATGATGAAAGCATTTTTGATTCCTTTAAGCAACTTTGGCCATCTACTAAAATTAAATTGTGTAATGATAAAGAACGCGGTGGTGTAATAATTATTCCTTTTTTCATTTTCAAGCTTGTGTTTAGAATGTTTTCAGGTGGACCACATCTTTTTCCTTTTAAAATGAAAATTGTTAATTTTGCACGTATTAAGTGTCATGCTGTAGCATCACTAGTGAAATTGTTTTACAGGGCTAACCAACCAACGTGCTAGGTCTGTACTTGAGCGGATCGACACGCCTTAAGTTGTTGTCAAGAACAGGGATGCAGAATGGACCGTGGAAAAGGCCGCATCTCTGCACGAGCTAAACAGGTAATTAGTACACTTATCCACGTAAAGGAATTTAGAAAGCCATCTATTCCAAAAAACTGTGACGCGCTCTTTTTCTGCTATCTGTCCAACCGTTCTCTTAATTAGACTATACTCCCCCCAATTTTCTTCAGACCATCGAACTAGCCAGGAAGTTCATTCACAAAAATGCGGGATGATCCTGGCACTGGCACTGGCCTTTCATTCGTTATCTTCATTTTTCTTCATTATGAAGTTCTTTTGGCTCACTCTAATAGTACGACAGCTCAAGGTCCATTAGTTAAATTATTTTAAATGTGCTTAAACCTCTTTTTACTTGTGTAATTAAAGAACCGTTTATATAGCCTGTCGATCTAAAGTTTAATGCTAATTCTGTTAAACATGAACGAATTGGATTAGCTCATGCTGAGAATGAGTTGACAGTGGATTTACATGCCTGTCGGAAAAGATAGTGTTTCTGCAACCAACTGTCCTTTTACGTTAACTTCACCCAGGGGACGTCGATTGTCTCAAAGGAGCGGGCGACTGAAGAGGTACGTTCTGCCTCAGAGAATTAACAGCACTCTGTTGAGAAATGACCTATCCCACGATGATCATCTGAAGCCGAAAGACAAATTCTTCCACTTTCATCATTTCCGCCCTGTGCTGCATAAGTTGCAGGATGGGGAACGCCGCGTTGGCATTCTTTGCAAAGGCGGCGGCGGTGCAAACTGATCGTTTGTTCTCCCGGCTCTGACTGGGAGTTAATGAGGCGGCATCCACCGTGTCTTGGTCTTCCCCCAGATGAATCTCTCGCGCTACAGCAATCATAATTTCAGCACCCGAAGCCTTCCAAGGGCGCTTTTAAAAAAATTAATCCATTTATAATCGATTCAGACAACTAACCGTGGGAGGGATGCCCTTAGATTGGATATGTGACAGAGGCTTCCTGCCCACGCTTACTGCAAACAAAGCCAAGGGAGTCTTGCTAACACAAAGTACTATCCAAACAGAGTTCCCCCGTCAGTTTGACAACATGCCAGCACCACCTTCCCATTTAGGCCTTAACTTTTAACCGTTGTTTTTAACATGAAGATTCGGGGTTGTTCTAATTAAATGAATCGCGGAAACAAAACCCAGTCACCTTAATTAACACAGTATCCCTCAATTGGCCAAGTAGAAGGCATATCAATTGCATTGTATAAAGTTATTCTTCAGGTTTTTTGTGCAATTCCCATGTAGTCCCAAGCAAAGCATGCTGGGAACAAGAAACCACATTCCCAGTTTCCATGTCAAGTAACAACAAAAAGGATTCATGCAGGCCCAACACTAGGGCGACCATGCGTCTTCCTTTTTCTGGACATATGCTGGCCAGATATTTAAAGGTCACATATTGTACACCTTTCTGGAGTTTTATTTTAGGTTTTGATGTCCTTAAGAATATATATTTGCGGTATAAGTACCAAAAACCTCAATATATTTTTACAGCTCCTCTCTCAGGAGCTCTGCTGAGAAAAGGTCGATTTTGGTCTGTCTAATTAATATTCATGAGCCTCTCTTCTGATTGGCCTGTTGTTTTCTGAGTGACTTCTGAGTGTCTGTGTGCATGTGTGTAAAACAACAAACTGACGATTTATATATAATCATTTGTAATTGTAAATACATTGTTGTGATGAATTGTTGCTGGAACAATAATGTAGCTGTAAAAATAGTTGCCTGCTGAAATTGAAATGTATATACATCTTCATCATGACTAGATAGACACGGTGAGTTTGTCTTTACTATACAGGTTAGATGTGATCCACCTCATAGTAACAATCCTGTCAGATCATCCATCCTTTGAGTGAGAGTGTAACGTTACAGGTCGGCCGATCTGGTTTCGTGGTTAAAGTTAACCTTTTCGACATGTTTCCATGTTGTCGTTGCTCAGCATGGACGCGATGTTGTCTGGGGGTTTGGCAAAAGGAGAGTGGGACGGTGGGCGGTGCTCGGGGTGGTGACTGAAGGCGGTGACTGTGTAGTTCTGACGTCAACTTTTTACGGAAGTCACAACGGTTCGTGAAAAATCACAGCTAATTTATGCAGGCTGTGTGCATTTTACTGTGGACTGACTGTTTTGAAACTTGTATGGTATTAAATAGCCCCTAGACCTCAGTTATCGTGAAAGGGAATTCCAGTTTTGACAATATGGGACCTTTAAATTGTCTAAAATGTCTGGGTTTTGGCTTTGTTTTCTTGTTGTTTTCATGCTTGCTGAAGGTAATGACAGAAAAGTAGTACATAATTGACCAATCATTGCATGAGAGAAGGTGGGATCTACAGAGAATTGTCAAAGCAATGCAAATACATGTACATAAAATGCATAAGGACTGTAGAGAGCATGTCAATAGCAAAAACAAAGCCTACACCTGGAAATTTTAGGCAGTTTAAGAATTCCCAGCCAGGACATGTCCGGGAACAAGAGGACGTATGGTCACCCTACTACCCAACACAAATGGGATAAGTACATTTCTGCTCAAGTGGATTTCATGGAATGAAATGATGTTGTGACAAAATGTTCAAATTGCATTGCATTAGTTCACTTTAATAAAAAGTAAATTGGGGCAAGCATCAAGAATTATTTGAAAACACCTTATATAGTTATATAGTTAGTCATGATATTTCCTTTTATGTTATCATTAGTTCTAAGTTATATGATAATGATAATCTTCGACTCATATTAATCTAATGCCAATTGCTGAGGTAGTACAGACATGACATCAACAAAAATTAATGTAATGGTTTATATGCTTTGTGGATGTTTACACATTTGTACGCAGCCATGGGAATAAATAATGTACCATTGTTGGAAAATGAACTGCCAGTGAAGTGACGCGTGCGGATCCATTGATGGTTCTATTTGTGGAACAGTCCACATCCGTGGTAGGAATCGCATATATGCAGAAGTATCTTTTTTATCTTTTAAGACTGTTAGAGTGAACAAACAGCTGTGGGTGCCCACACTAAATAATCTTTAAAATGCCATTATAACTTTCCATTGCATATATGGATTGTCCATTGCCAGCAATGGAATGTAGTCATACATGGATGTGAGTCAGACTAACGCTGCCAATACACTATACTGTATAATCTATATCAGGGGTGTCCAAACTCGGTCCTGGAGGGCCGGTGTCCTGCAGAGTTTAGCTCCAGCTTGCCTCAACACACCTGCCTGGACGTTTCTAGTATGCCTAGTAAGACCTTGATTGGCTGCTTCAGGTGAGTTTGATTAGGGTTGGAGCTAAACTCTGCAGGACACCGGCCCTCCAGGACCGAGTTTGGGCACCCCTGATCTATATAATGCAGCACTTACAGATCATGCATTCAGCTGTTTAAATTTTATAGTAAGCCTTTTGTTATGACTGCAACCTTACAAGGTCTGTTTTTTTTTATCATTCTGCCAAAGAAACTTTTTTTTTTCCAAGCTTCAATCAGTGATCATATAAATGAATGATTCGTGTTTGACTAGACTTATGTAACTGATTTAGAGCTGGGCAACATGCCACAACCTATGGGAGGGAGATCTATCTTCTGTAGATTTTACAGCTGAGCACAGTATTTTCTTTATGCTATGTTTTCGTCAGTTTATTTTCATTTGGATTCCTCATGAAAAGAAAGTTTCCCACTAAACTCTTTTTTTTTTTCATAAAGTATGATATGATGTAGAATGGGAACTTATAATTGTAACTTGTAAAAAGGCAAACAATTGGTAACTAGAGGAAATAATTTTGACAAACTGATATTTGCAATGCACTTCAGTGCTCTGCACATCCGCACACTTATGAAGCTGTTTAGATTTCCTCTGTGGCTACTTGTCTTTGAAATAGCATGGCATTTACCACCTCCCTGCAGATTCAATTTAGAGTGAAAAATCACAGCCTGATGTGATTTATAAGCGTCCATAGTTTTGATGAATGGCTTATATGACATTATTGTTGTAAGATCAAAAACATGGCTTACAGAATCACTTTTGACACATTCTGGGTCCCAGCGCACCATTAGAATATTCTTTAACCACAGATGATTTGACAGCTAGGAGATAGGGACTCAACCAGACCCCCATCCCCCCCCCCCCCCAACCGCCCCCC